GGTGCAGCCCCCCCGGGGATTTGGGTGCAGCCCCCTCGGGTTTTTGGGTGCAGCCTCCCCGGGTCTATGGGTGCAGCCCCCTCGGGAGTGTGTGGGTGCAGCCCCCTCGGGTCTAGGGGTGCAGCTCCGCCGGCTGTGTGGGTGCAGCCCCCCCGGGGATTTGGGTGCAGCTCCCCCGGATTCCTGCGAGGATGCTCTTTAGGGAGTGAGCGGTGCTGACCGCCACAAAGGCCATTTTGTGGGTGTTCAGAGATGGTGGCGTTGGGTGGAGGTTGTGGTTGAGGTTGAGCAGCTCAGGTCCCGCTGCTCTTCCCGGGCAGTGAGCCCTTTTGGGGTGAGCAGTTGGAAGCAGGTCAGTGGCAAGCTGGGCGACGTGGTACAGGCGAGAGCGCAGCCACCATGGGAAGATGGCTTTGAAACATGAAAGGGCACAGAGCTGGTGTGTGACTGCTGGGCACTGGGGTGAGACCTCTGCGGTGGCTGGGTCCAGTTCGCAGTGGTTTGTGTGCCCTGATGGATCCCAACCACCTTCTTCCAGCTGCTTCTCCAAGGTGCTGACCAGGAGCTTTCTGCTCCAGGAGAGAAGACCATAGGGGTGTTCGGCTAGCCTGGTGAACAGGAGCGTGGATGGTATTGCAATCTCACAGTATTTATCGATTTCCTGCCCGTTTCTGTGCATTTCCTATGTCTTCTCCAGGCTCAAACCTACTGAACACAAACATTTCTGAATCATTATCTTTACCAGAAATACACAAATTACCAGACTGTGCTTGCACAGAAATATTTTGGCTAAGTTCCCCTTGAATAAATGTGACCTATGCACAGCGAAGCGCCTGGCTGCTCTCCTGCTGTTATTTTGGGATCAGGAAGCCTAAATAGTGGGATCAGGAGATTGTGAAGGATGCTGATGCTGCTGACAGCTTATTTGTTTTTTCTTGCTTCATTCATTGCCACTGATCAAAGTATTAACTCAGAAAGAAAAAGCAAAATATATTTTCACTAATCCTGGTAATCTTCCTTGTGCTTCAAGGAAAATCTACAGCCTTAGGGAAATAACTGTCCTTCAGAGTAAGCTCAGCTCTTCCTCTGGAGCTGACTGTACTTTCAGTGCACTGGTACTGCCACTTCACCAGCAGTTCTCAGGCTAAACTGGGATGCGGTAGCTGGCGGTTCACCTGCCCTTGGTGCAGTTCCAGTGAAAAGGCAGAGCAAGGACAAGGAATTCATTGGCAAGCGACAGTCTCGGAAAATAAGTCTTAGCTGCAGATGTGAGGACGCACAAAGGAAGGCAGCATCCTCACGGCTCACTTTACAAATATGCGACAATTGGAAAACCAGCCATGTGTTCAGAAATGTGTTTCTGATTTTTACAGATACACGCTGGGACTTTGTTTGTATGCTGAGTTGTACCAGCAAATTTCTGGAGGGGCTTCCCAAGTGTTGGCTCTGGTTTAATTCCAAGTTGCTTGTCATTTGGCTCTGAATTATTTGAGGCAGGAACAGGCTGTGCAGAACTGTACAGTGTTTATCTCTTTGGGTCCTCTAAATATCAGTAAATAAATAATAACCACGATAGCCTAGTCTAATGTGAGTATTTGGATGGCTGTCTTCATTTCAGAAGGGTGCAAAAACTCAGGTTTGTTCAGCTTCTTGTGTTTTTTCTAGATGGCAGCTCATGTTGACATACATTTTTGTTATTCACTAATTATGATATTTTTTTAATATTTATGACAGTGGTCTGTCATGTTAAGATGGTGGAAAGTTAGGAGATTTTTATCTGTAGGTTAATGGAAAAATATTTAGGAGTATTTGTCATAAAACCTTTAGTGTTCCCTGCATACAAGTTAAAGATATTAAGTCAATTTATACTATAGTTACCCTACTAGAAAGCCCATTTTTCTGCCTCTCAAAGATGCTACCTGTCTTATTTAATTTTATTTTGGGTTTTTTTAAGTTTGTGAAAGCATTTACCAGCATCAGTATAGTCAAACACTGCCATGAGATTGGTCTAAAAATTACTCTGGGTATTGAACTAAGGGCAGTTTTACTTTGTTTCTTCTTCAGCTGCTAAAAATGTTATTGAGGTTTAAAAATATTTTTCAGTATTTCCAAGTAGAAGGTAGTAATACAGCTCTTCTTGTTAACAGGCTGCTGACAGTAATCATGTCTGCATCACATAAATTAACTAATGTGCCTGTTTATTCTTTTTTCTCCATCAGTATTTGCATTTTTTTTTCCATGGCCATAAAATGATTTGCAATTTTAAGTCTGAATTTAATTGCTTAGTCATCTGCTGTGAATTCTATAAATTCTTCTAATAGAAACTAATTTTGCTTAGTTTTAAGGAATCTGCAAAGTCAGTCCTGCAAAGCTGCCTGATCTGTTCACTGCTTTGTTCAGTTTTCTGCTTAGCCTCAATGTTTTCTTAATTGTAAGTTTATTTTTGGCAAAAAAAAAAAGCTCTTCTGTTTTAAGTCCATCCCAGATTTGTCAATCATTACAAAATACCACTTTTGGGGTTTTCTTAGAACCTATTATTAATCTTAACATCTTAATTATATTTTTGTGTGTATAATAGAATTTGTCAAGAGCTAATTTAAATATTTATTTAAATATTTAAGATATTTTCCATCCTTCCCTAGGAGCAGTAATATTTGTGCAACCGAAAGTCAATGCTCTGTATAGAGGGTTGTGTATTTTAAGGGAAATGTTTGCCAGAAAGAAAAAGGATGGAGTAAACAGAGAGATCACTCAGTAAAAATATTTGAGGGATTTGAGGCTCTGGGACTGTTAGGAGGCTCAGAATGTTGTGGAAGTGATGTGTACAGTCTTTGAAGGAAAGTTTGACATCATTTCCCTAGTGCTATCTAGCTACTGGCTGCTTTCCAGAATATTTGAGCAGGCAAAGAGTCACAAGCCTTTTTTTTTTTTTTTTAATTGTTTTTTTCCAGTGCTGCTTTTTATCTGTAAAAAGAAAAAAAAAATCCTTTAAATTATAAAAGGAATTTGAGAAAATGGAAGCAGTAAAAGGTTAAAAATAGGCACAGAGCTTTTGAAATGCTTCCTGCCTCATGTTTATACATCCTTTAAAAGAATTAACTAACAGCAGTAATTCAGGCACAGCAGAGTGGAGTCATTGTGCAGATTTAAGGTGGTCAAACCAACCACGTAAGCTAATGTTAGAGTTCTGCTGTGGTAACGCTGCTGCTCTCTGTGGAAAACTTCATTATCATTTAAGCATCATTTCTTTTACCTTTCCAGTGTTCATGTATTATCACAGCGGAAGATCATTTCGCCAGCTATCTTGATTCTTAACCTGGCAAACCTGCTGTTTAAAGTACATCTCTATTTTTTCCTATTTAAATCTTAACGACGAGAGAGCTGGGAATGTGGAGAAGAAAATAAGGAGGAGAAAATGAATAACCAATTGTCAAATCTCACAGCTATTAACTCAGAAAAGCATCATTTTTTCCCTGTCTTCCCCTCCCACAGACACTCCCCAAACGTGATGTCTCACGTCATAAAGCTTATCAATCTCACATAATGTTTTTGTGGTGTTACTCACCAAAATCAATCTGCTGAGCTGCTACTGTGGGAACAACCATCCCTTCATATCTCGTCAGAGTGTTTAATTTTTCTTTCTCATCCATAATTTTATAGTGCTGCTTATAGTATTAGTCTGTAAATTAAGTGTTTGTAGTATACATTGCATACTGCTAGAATGCATTTCACACAGTGAACAGGAGGAGAGCTGTGTTAAAGTCTCAGAAACATTTGGATTTGCCTTTTCTTTTAGCAGCTCTCTCACCATAAAGTTAAGCAAACAGGTCAAGGGGGAGACAAGGTATGGTTCAGCTCTCAAAAAACCAATAGTGGAATGATGGGTAAGTGAACCACTAACGTTTTTACTCACTTTTCCCTCTTCAGCTATGACAGGGGATCTACATTCAACGTGTTTGTGGGAAAAGGTCAACTTATTGCTGGGATGGACAAAGCTCTGGTCGGCATGTGCGTGAACGAGCGGCGCTTCGTGAAGATTCCCCCCAAGCTCGCCTACGGAAGCCAAGGCGTCTGTAAGTGCAGCAGCAGGCCAGGGAATAGCTGGTTGTGCAAGTGATTCAGCAGAACAGATGATAGAAAATGGAGTCAAGGGTAGAAATTGCAAATAGTGAATTTTAGAGATATTTTTCCCCTGCTCAGGGGTGTCCTTAAGCCTATAGCCTGGCTAATCACTCCAGGCTGCAGGCAGAAGAGCTGTTGACTGTAGAGGACCTTCAGCAAATGAACCTTGCTACTAAACTTAAGTATTTATACCAACCTCACTCTTAAATAGTTATAGTGTTTTGGCATTGCAGGTCTTGTCAGTGCCAAAACCAGCTTTGCTCTGCAGACTCAGAGGCAACAAATGTTAAATCAAGAGCAGTTTTCCTGATGGACATATTTGATAACAGTTCATGTTGCCAGATTCTCCTTCCTTTTATGAAGCTGCAGGAGTGACAAGGGGACAGGGGGGATATAGACACAAAAAGGATTAAGCTGTACATAATGGATTTTATTTAGGGAACATGTAGATTGGTTTCCTTTTTGCTAATATACTGTATAAAAAGGGAAATAAACCAGGTTGTGTTGGTTGTTTTGGTTTGCAGCTGGTGTGATACCCCCCAACGCTGTGCTCCATTTTGATGTGCTGCTGATCGATCTCTGGAACTCGGAGGACGAAGTGCAGGTTCAGACTTACTTCAAACCTGAGAAGTGCCCTCGGACAGTCCAGGTGTCTGACTTTGTACGATACCATTACAATGGGACCTTCTTGGATGGGACCTTGTTCGATTCAAGGTATGCAGCTGGGTTGTGTGTCTGTGTGCCTTTTAAAAGGTATCTGATGTCACTTTAAAGCATCACTTCCTCCCCTTCACTGGTTTAACAATTAATGCTGGTTGCTCAGGAAGACAAGAGATTAAAGCTAGCATCATAGAAGTGTCACTAATTTCCTCAGGGATTATGGGACAGCAGTGCTGACTCAAAGCAATAAAACAGAACATTATTTCTGCATGAACATTACCCCAGATTCTTTATATTTTTTAAAAAAAATCATTCCCTGTATTTCTATTACTCTTTACTGCAGTCAGCTAATATTTTTTATAACCACTGCAGCATAGCTTTTCAAGTTAGATACAGGCTTTATAAACTAAGCAGAGTTTGTGATGAAATTGAGCTGCTAACACTTTCATACTGAGATATGAAGTTTACAGCATGTGTACTTCGTTAAAGTTCCATGGAAAACGATGCTTTAATAACAGCTGCCTTTATGTTTGTGAGCCATTGTTTCAAAACCTCTGTTAGGTTCCTGAAATAGCTGAGTCCTCTGGAGAACACTTACCCAGCCAGCCCTGGGGAAATCCAGGAGCAATGTATTATTTGAAGCAGCAAGTTGTGAGTTATATTGTGCATAGTGTGTGGCTTTTGAAAATGAATATTGTTCTTTCCTGTGGCTGTCTGACATTTGGTTGTGGGGTTGTTTTTTAAAAAAAAATATTTTTTTGCTTGTTTTTAGCCATAATCGGATGCGAACTTACGATACCTATGTGGGAATTGGATGGTTGATTCCTGGTATGGACCAGGGTCTCTTGGGAATGTGCGTAGGAGAGAAGCGCATTATCACAATACCACCTTTCCTGGCGTATGGAGAAGAAGGAGATGGTAAAAGTTTTTTTTTTTGTTGTTGTTTTTTTAAATCCATATTTTAAAACAAACTTGTACTTTTGTGTATTTTAAATTTATGGGCAGCATTATTACTCATTTCAGACAGATGGAACAAAGTGGTGGGAAGAGAGGTTTAAAATGCATTATGTACAGGATTGGGCTGATGAGAAAGTAAAAGTGTTTTTTTACTTTGACCAGTGGGTTGATTAACAGATAATATTGTTCATACAATTGTAATCTTTATATACTGAAATTTTATTTCAATCAGACAATATATAATCTGTGATTAATATCTAGTAGCTCCAAAAACTGGAAGTCAGATGACTGCATAATTATTTCAGTGACTGCCACAGAGAGCAGAAAACTTTGAAAAAAAGAAAAATGTATTTTTCATTCCATTTTTGTTCTTTTTTTTTGCAACCAATGCTATAGGGATAACTATAAGATGGATTAATTGTCCTATGAGACTGTATGTAGCCTGCATGTGATATGGAGAGGTCCCCATGTGAAATGAGGGGGCAGTTAGGTATAGTTTGGGCTGCTTCCTTAAATTCTTTCTCTGCTGTGAAGTTTAGGAATGTGCCAGTGGTGTAGAGGGTTCTGTACCCTTTCTATGACTTCATTACCAATAACTGATAGCCATCTCCATGGATAACAAAACTTTGTGGAGTTATGTTTTAAAATTTTGCCGAGGTCTTGAGCTGAATGTTTCTCAGTGAAAGCAACCCACACTGTGCTTTGTGTATTGATGGAAAGGTGCTTTTTCACCAAGATACTCAATTTACCCTTCTAAAACTTCCATCATGTGGAAGTTGACTAAAACGGATGTTGCTGAAGAGGCTCTTGGTTTTGGTGAGGCAGTGCCATCATAATAGGAACAGAATGAAATTGAGTTGGAGAATTAAGTGACAGAGTCACACATGAAACAAAAAATGACTGACTAGAAGCAGATCCTGCTGATTTATTTTGAGAGAGGATGTGCCTGATGCTTGGCAGTAGGTTACTTTTCTTCATCAAACATAGAATCATAGAACCATAGAATGGTTTGGGTTGGAAGGGACCTTAAAGATCATCCAGTTCCAGCCCCTCTGCCATCAGCAGGGACACCTTCCACTAGACCAGGTTGCTCAAAGCCTCATCCAGCCTGGCCTTGAACACCTCCAGGGAGGGGGCAGCCACAGCTTCCTTGGGCAACCTGTTCCAGTGTCTGACCACCCTCACAGTGAAGAATTTCTTCCTAATATCTAATCTAAACCTCCCCTCTTTCAGCTTAAACCCTTTTCCCCTTGTTTTGTTATTAATTGCCCTTATGAAAAGTCCTTCCCCAGCTTTCTTGTAGCCCCTTCAGGTACTGGGAGGCCGATATAAGATCTCCCTGGAGCCTTCTCTTCTCCAGGCTGAACAGCCCCAAACTCTTTCAGCCTGTCCTCATAGGAGAGGTGCTCCAGCCCTCAATGTTTAACATGTTTAAGCTCCTTCTAGAACACCTGCTCTTTCTTAGCAATTTTCTGCTCTTAACACTTTTGTAGGTAAGGAGATCCCTGGCCAAGCTTCTCTCGTCTTTGATGTGGTTTTGCTGGATCTCCATAACCCCAAAGATGGTGTTACTATTGAGAACCAGCACGTGCCTGAATCTTGCGAGCGGAGAAGCCAGACGGGAGACTTTCTGCGATACCATTACAACGGCACGCTTCTGGATGGCACGTTGTTTGATTCCAGGTAACCAAACCATTCAGCCTTACACATCCCATTTCCAGTTTGACTTATCTGTCTTGTCCTTAATACACCCAAATACAATTCTTTGCTTTTCCTTTCTTTTTGAAATTTGTGTGTGGAGTTGGAGTCTTCTTAAAAAACCTCTTAGAAACCTTTTCAGTATGGGAAGACAAAGACCTGTTTTGTGTTATGACAGTATCACAAACGCCATCTAGGGGTGGTGATCCACCTGGTGAAGCCACCTATGCTTTAGACACGCATGCCTGAAGACTCTTTGCCCCATAGTTTATCTGCCAAATAGGTAGTATTCCTGAAGAGAGAGAAGATAAATATGATTCCCATTTTATGTCCTGAGAACTGTGAGTCAGTGAGCTAGTGGCTAGTTTGAGGTTAATCTCAGCACAGCCTTTCCTTTTGTGCTTGAAAGCTGTTTGCATTTTCGAGGCTAATGTCTCTAAAGACTGAATTCAGCAACGGAGTTTCTGTGATAAAGGAAGAGGGATTGCTCTCACTTCAGATTCAAAACTCTTTAGGTACATGAGCTTCATGTACAGAATTATATGATGAGTAATAAATACCCTTACAGCTTTCTGCCACTTTTGGTTGCTCTTCAATGAGCAGTACTTTACTCCCCCACTCCAGCTTTCAGAACACGTGGCACAAGTAACTAAAAAGAGTTGAAAATGAGCCACTGTAAAATGTTACACAAAATAAAATAACAAAATCTTTTTTTCATACTTCTACAACTGCTGCAAGCTGAAGATCAGGATCAGTTTGCCAACATTAGCTGAGTAGTGTGTCGTGTGTGCTGCTTCCCACGAGGAGGAGTCAGGGAATATATCTCCTGTAATTGAATTGAGGTGCAGTAAGGATCAACCTTGACCTCCCCATTTAGCTCTCCAGCTTGGTGGGAGGACAGAAGGCAGGAGACCTGCATCAGCAGCCATCACTTAATTTACAGCTTGTGAAAACTTGTAAGCTAAGAACTTTAAGCTTATCCACAGTGCACCTGCCCAGAACCTCTCTTTTTTGAGACGTAGATGACTATTGTCTGTAGCAATTAAACAATTTTTGAAAATGGCTGGAGTGTTTCTATTAGTGTTTTTGTCAATAAATAGTAATAAAGGCTTTGTAGACAGCAGCCTCTACATCATTCTGAAGCACTGACAGTTGTTAGAGGGCTTGTTTGTTAGAGTGTTGTATCCTGGCTTCTTGTGGAATTTACAAGAAAGGCCAGTGTCTGACAAGTGTCTGTGAAGAAACAGAGAGCTAATACCAGTTATTGAAAGCCTTGGAGCTGGCCAGGAAAAAATTTCTCACTAGTACAGGTAGAGTTGCGGAAGCACTGTGAATGGCTGGGGTTGAGAGCTCTGATAGTCTTTTCCTTCATTTTTTTTCCCCTGCAATATTCAGCTGCAGAGCTGCCCCTGGACAGCTGAGCCAGGGCTGTCTGGACTTAGAGCAGTTGAATAAACCTCTGGATTACATCAGGGTCCATATTGGTCTTGCTCTTTCTCAGAGTTACCTTGTAAAGATGAATTAAAACCTTTCTGTCTTCCCTTCCTTGGGTTGTGTCTTCACATAGCATGCTTTGAAAAAAGGCAGAAGGCAGACATATCATAGAATCATAGAATGGTTTGGATTGGAAGGGACCTTAAAGATCATCCAGTTCCAACCCCCCTGCCATCAGTAGGGACATCTTGCACTAGATCAGGTTGCTCAAAGCCTCATCCAGCCTGGCCTTAAACAATTCCAGGGAGGGGGCAACCTTGGGCAACCTGTAATATCCTTGTAATAAACATAATTTCTTGTTGTAGGCTTGTTTATTTTATCATTAGGTATTGAAGCAGATCTTTCAACCTACACAGAAGTGATTGGCATAGTTTGGAAGGGAGGGATGGTATTGATACTGTTTTGTGGTCATGACTCTTTTAATGCTCTGCATCCCAGGAGAACCCATTCATCCCATCTCCTGCTTGGTTGAACTATGTAGCTGTGGTTGAAAAAGAAGATAGTCAGAAGGGTGTCTCAGGAAAATGAACCTAAACTTTATCTAGTTGATAAACTAGAGTCGAGGTGAGACAGGGAAAATTTAAAGGAAAAAGATTATTTTTTCAGTTATTTGTTAAAACATGATTTTTGTTTAGTTTAAAATACATAAATAAGATTTTCTTTCAAGATGTGGTACAAATGCATTTGCAAGTAAGCTGTTACCTAGCCAGTGACCAGTACTGGTTAATAACTGGTGTGTGTGTCACTGACTGGTGAAACTTGGTGGCCTAGATGCATTGAATAGATGCATTTATCTCTCCAGTGCTAGTTAATGACTGTGTCTTTGACCTTAACTGGTGTAAGAATTGTGTTGCTGACCTATAACAAGATTCTGTGTTTTCTGGAGTACACCTGACACTGCTAAAATGCAAATATTTTCCATAGCTATTCCCGAAATCGTACGTATGACACCTATGTCGGGAAAGGTTATGTGATTGCTGGGATGGATGAAGGTTTGCTAGGTGTGTGCACTGGGGAAAAAAGAAGAATAATAATCCCCCCACATCTGGGGTATGGAGAAGAAGGAAGAGGTGAGCTTTACTTTTCATTCAAATCTTCCATAATTAACGATCTTTCCTTTATTGTTTAGTGTGTAGTTAAACTGTATAAAGTATTTGTTCCATTTTTTTGGCTTTTGAGAGGCTTATGCATGAGTTCATTGTTTTGTGGGCATGCAACTGACGGGATTACACCCAGAATTGGCAGAATTATTGTCATTAGCTAAATAGGCAGGATAATAAGAATGCAGAATAATCTCACGTGTAATTGGTGACCTGAAATTATTTGGATAATTAGTATTTCAGGCAGACTGGTACTTGGATGCCAGGAGCTCTGGAGTGTGAGGAGCAATTCCTTCCTGTGTGTCATGACGAGCTCTCCATGCTAAGAGAATTCATTGTGTTAAGTTTTCTTCCCCGTTCCTTCCACAGCCACAGGTTTTGTGGACTCCTAAGCCACCTCTGTAAACGGTGGATGCATGTAACAGCAAATTATCTGTGCATGTACAACATACAGTCAAGATTCCTTTGGGAAAACTCATTCCTACCTAAAAAGGTTGCTGTGAGGGGTTGAATAGGATAACCCTTCTAACTGTCAGTTCTACAGCTGGTGTTTCAAAAGGTGCCTCCTGGGATGTTATTTGGAAAAAGTGAGTTGGAAGAAAAGCCTCTCTTCTGGGAATGCAAATCCAAATTGACAGTGTAGAGAATTAGACTCCTCCAAAACCCACTCCTGGGTCAATCCTGGTAATACAGTTGCACATTATCCTGGGAAGGGGGGGCAGAAGTTGCTTGCTATCAGGACATTTTAAGGAAATATAACCTTCTGGACATGATGGCGTTTCTTGAAGCGTGAGAAGTCCGATGAGAATTTTGATGATGAATAATGAATTGGTACATGAAGTACAAATCAGTCATTTGGAGTAGTCACAGGAAATATATGGCTATTGCTTCATTGCTGCAGGATTTCCAGATTCAGAATAATGCAGATTTTTTCCTTCACCGTTGAACTGGTGCATTTAGTGCTTTTCTACTGGTTCTCTCTCCTACGTTGGGTGCAGAGGAGATGGAGTCCTTGAATTCTGAACGAGAAGAGCAAAATGCCTCTGTAGCAGACACAGTGGGAATATATATTCCTACGGGGTGCAGCACCTTGTCATCATAAGCCTGTTTGGGTTCCATTTCTTTCTCTACCTCCCTAATTTGCTTCCTATTTAGGAAAGATCCCAGGATCTGCAGTGCTGGTCTTTGACATCCACGTGGTTGATTTCCACAACCCCTCAGATTCGGTCAGCATTACTGTCAACTACAAACCTTCCAACTGCACCGTACTCAGTAAGAAAGGAGATTATTTGAAGTATCACTACAATGCTTCACTCCTGGATGGTACTCTGCTAGACTCCACGTAAGTAGATCACCTGGTAAAGAAAATGTCCCTAGCAGCTGTGAAAGCAGAATGAGTTGCCTGCAAAGTGGGCTGGCAGGGAGTAAATAATTCTGGAGAGAAAAATTGAGTTCTGATCTAGAATGTATTTTTCTTTTTATGTCTGCCTGCCTGACACCCATAGGAAGAGGAAAATAAAAAGACATATCTTTTTCTGTCATAGTATAATGGTGATTATTAGTAGCTGAGAGAACTAGGGTTGTTTATCCTGGAGAAAAGGAAGCTGAGGGGACACTTTCTGGCTCTGTCCAACTCCCTGAAAGGAGGGTGTGGAGAGGTGGGGGTGGGTCTGTTCAACCAAGGAACAAGTGACAGGACAAGAAGAAATGGCCTCAAGTTGCACCAAGGGCAGTTGAGATTGGATGTGAGGAAAAATTTCTTTGCTGAAAGGGTTCTCAGACATTGGAAGGGGTTGCCCAGGGCAGTGGTGGAGTCCCCATCCCTGGAGGGATTGAAGAGTCGTGTAGACACAGTGCTGAGGGACATGGGTTAGTCAGGGACTTGTCAGTGTGAGATTAATGACTGGACTGATGATTTTAAAGGTCTTTTCCAATCTGGGCAATTTAGGGATTCTGTGATGAGAGAACTGGGAACAAAGAGGATGTAGGAGTGTTGGAGAAGAACATAAACACTACAGGTGGGGTGATGAATCAGGCTGTCTGCCTGGCAGTCTGTTTAAACTTTTAACAGCTAACTTTTTTCCTTCCTTCATCTTTTGGATAGCGCCAGTCATCCAAATAATATTTTATTTTTGGAAAGCAAGTTGGGAAAAGCTATTTTTAAACAGGTTGTAATTAACACAGGAAGCAGCTCCTAGTTTTCACAGTGTACACAACAGCTTGCAGAGCTGAAAAGCTGGTTTACACTGAGGCACGTGATGTGATGCCGTAGGCAAGTATGTATGCAAGCAATGTGTTTGGATTCAAAACACCTTTTATATGGCAGGAGTGCTCAGTTCCTGTTTGGTAGCAGGATCCCAGGATTGTTGAGACTGTCTTAGTCAAAGCAGTTTATAGAGAAGCAAAGATCATGAATCTCGTGCTCCTAATTTTAAGGCTGACCTCCTAGCCACTGGATTGTTTTCTTTCCAAGTAACACTCTGTTGTTCAAGCACGTCCTGCAGCAGCACAGCCAACCCAAATAACCAAAGGAGGGAGACTGACAGAAGAAAGGGTCCTGCTGTTGTGACACATACCAAGTAAAAAGTCTTAACACTGCACGCTCTGTTTTTACCATCACAATACATGTTTTAACTTCAGGGGTTTTAACTCATGATAATTTCTAATTTTAGAAACAGCAAGGTAGAACTCAAAATACAGTTCAGTTCAACAGCACTAGTAACAGTTTACTGCCAAGTGAGCTGTCTTGGAGAAGTGACTGCTACATTATAGTGACTGATTTCATTAAAGGGATGGCTGATCCATGTGAAGGCACCCAGATCCATGTAGGTTGGTAGTTCTGGGACAAATTTACATCTGGAATTTTTATATCTGTTAAAAATTCCCAGCTTCATCAGTGAAAAATATATATATGAAAGGCAAAATACTTTTCAGATAAAATACTATTGATAAAATACTATTTTGAGATGAAATACTGTGGGGGTTTAATTGGCAGGATTAACCATTTTAATTGGATTTCATTCAAGAAGCCTGTAATTTTAGTACCAGAAGAGTTGTCCACAGTGGGGACATTTCTGTTTGGTGTTGGCTGTAACTTGCCACCTTGAGAACAACTTCAGGTGACTGCTTCATAGAACAGAGCATTGGGCATGGAGTTGATTTTTGGCAGTGATAGGACACTAACTAGAAACTGCCGGTTCTGAGGTAATTTTGAAATTCTGTATTGTATGTTGACGGGTTTTTTTATTTTTTCTCTTCTCCCCTCCCTCCAGACACAGCCTGGGCAAGACCTACAACATAGTTCTGGGATCTGGACAGGTGGTGGTGGGGATGGACATGGGCCTTCAAGACATGTGCGTTGGGGAACGACGGACAGTCGTTATTCCACCTCATCTTGGTTATGGAGAAGATGGTGTTGGTAAGTGTGTGAAACCTATTGCACATCCCCTTAGTATCTATTGAGTAACTGAAACACAGTTAAGTACAAGGACACAATTGAATGGGATTTTTTAGAGTTTTTCATTTCATTATTTTAGACACCCCCCCCATTCCCCAGTGAAATGAACATAGTGTCTGTGTTGCGTTTTCAGTCAGACTGTTACCGTGGCCAATAGAAAAACCATCTCAGTACAAAAGGGAACACACACCCCCAGTAATGCTGCTTTGTCACAGTGGAAAGCTCCAGGCACTCTGGGATGTAAACACTGTGGATGGGGGATGATGGGGAATTGGGTCCTCACGCTTGGACATGCAACATGTTATTCAGGAAACAAAAGTGAAGGGGACTGTTCAGCACTAATATATTAGAAATTCAGAGAAAACTCAAAATTCAGAAACTATATGAAGTGAATGTAAGATGTGGAACAGTATGGGTGCTGTTGAAACCCCAACATCAATACATTGAAGGCAGTTTGCTCTGTTTTAGAGCATTAGAGGCTTACACATTTTTAATGACAGGGACAACAATCATAAAAAGAACAATATAGATTCATAGATTCATAGATTCATAGATTCATAGAATGGTTTGGGTTGGAAAGGACCTTAAAGATCATCTAGTTCCAACCCCCCTGCCATCAGCAGGGACACCTTCCACTAGACCAGGTTGCTCAAAGCCTCATCCAGCCTGGCCTTGAACACTTCCAGGGAGGAGGCATCTACAACTTCCTTGGGCAACCTGTTCCAGTGTCTGACCACCCTCACAGTGAAGAATTTCTTCCTAATATCTAATCTAAACCTCCCGTCTTCCAGTTTAAACCCATTTCCCCTTGTTTTGTCATTAACTGCCCTTATAGCAGTGACAAGAACTCTCATCTCCCAGTGTGTGTGGTTGTTACTGGTCTTCTGAGTTAAAAGATGTGAGGGAAGGGAGTCTGTCGGGAGATCACCAAGATCAACAAACTCTGATACGTATGGAAACAGTTCCATAAGTTACTATATTCTTTGTGTAGCTCCAGAACAGTTTGTATTTTATAAAGACTGTCTGTCAGGCATCATGTGCCAAGCTTAATGGAGAATCAATTTGTCAGAAGAGATCCAGAAGCATTTTCACTTGTCTTCCGTGAAAAATTATGAGTATTATATATGCAGATTTTATACAATAGTATGAAATGATACAGTTATATATAATACATTGAAAATTTCCTCAGAACATAAAAAGTCTGCTGTGTTAAAACCCATTTTAAACATCCCTGTCCTAGGCATTTGCCATCATTCAGATTGCATTCGATACACGTGGTCTGAAACATTGCACCATCATTAGTGCTCTGGTGTATACCCAGGAATCACAACTGAGATGGCTCGTTTGCTACTGGCCAGAACTCAGAGGTGACCTCAGTTTTCTTTTTCAAGAATAAATTAAACTCCCTCTGTGGTTTCATTGAGGGAACCTCCCAAGCTGTTGCAACACTGTCAGTAGCACCTTGATACACAGTGTGTCGGTGAGATAAAGGAAAATTGATTCATTCCTGCAGTTTTACCTTTATAAGTAAAAAAAACCAAATGCAGTTTTATTATGAAAGCTTCCTTGATGTTTTGATCACCTCTGCTGAAGTGAACAGGAAGATTTAATGGGCTTGGGATCATGGGACTTGGGGGTTACAGCAGAGAACCTGTTGAAGCAGGAAGTTTAATGATGGATTAAAAGGAAATCCACTCTTCAACGTCAGTGAGGATAAACACCCCTCTTTGCTGTTTGTTGTGACAGAAGGAGAAGTGCCTGGTAGTGCTGTGTTAGTTTTCGACATCGAACTGCTGGAACTGGTGTCGGGCTTGCCTGAAGGGTACATGTTTGTGTGGAATGGGGAAGTGTCTCCCAATCTTTTTGAAGAAATAGACCAGAATCATGATGGAGAGGTTCTTTTGGAGGAGGTAAGCTGAGGCAATGAAATACTTGCAATTGTTTTCTCCTACCACCATCATCAAGGTGTTGAAGAATGGGGTGTTCCCTTCTTCTCCCTTCCTTCTTCTCTTCTCTCCTCTCTTCTCTCTTCTCTCTTCTCT